AAAACAAAAACCACAAGGAGCCCAAATAGAATCCCAGCATCATTAGAACAGGCTTCCTCTCAGGTAAAAATATCATTTCACAAAGAACAGATAAATCAAATGAAAAGAAGGAATTCTGATGCTGTAGGAAGAGACTGACACACTCAAGTGGACATGAAACACCTTTAAGATAAATAATAAAAGGCTATCAAGGACTTTGCTCCTTGGCATTTAACCCTGTTGTTACTGTGATGCGAACGAACCATCAACATGCTAGCCATTGCTAGCATGGGACAGGTTTATCCTATCGTCACCACATGCAGTCTTCTTCCAGTTGCTGCTGTGCTAGTGCACTGTGGGTGCCTAGCAGGGAGTTTGCAATCCAGTAAACAAACTTGGGGCTGTGGGGAGATGAGTTTTGTGAGGAGGTCTGAAATCAAACAATTGTTTTAAACTTATGGAAATGCTCATTAACCAACTATGAAGTATTGCTATATTCCCTTTTACTGATACTGAATTCTGTGTGTTAGATCTAGAAAATAAAGAAATATTAATTAGATTGTAGTGCCAAACGTTAACAGAAAGTATATGAAGATTATGAATTCTGCAATAGCTCAAATCAAGAAAGTAAAGGAAGAAAGAAGCTTCTTGTATAGAGAAGCTGCTGAAGTTTGTAAAAAGAGCTGGGAGTGCATGGTGATGAACAGCTATAAAACTGCAGCTTCAGTGCTCTCAGTGTTGAGCCACATCAGCATCGCAGGCTGGCCTGATGCAGGACATGTAAAAATCTGCCCAAATGTAAGTATGCATAATTCTTATGCTAGGATTAAGAGCTGTGCATCACTGTGTCCATCTGTAAATCCATCCACAGAGTGAGACAAAGCTAGATTGGGATCTTATGCAAGAAAAGTCTGCTTTCTGGTTTCCTCCTGGATCAACTTAAACTGGACTCTACTTGCCCAAAATTTAATTTGCAGTAAGAACAAGATTCATGCAAAAGTCCATTAATTCTCCCTCAGGTGTATACCATTGCAATCATGATCCAGTCAGCCTCACAGAACACAAAAAAGAAGAAATACAATGAAAACAAAACACTCCAAACCAAACAAGTTTGTGCCTGCTGACTCAGAAACAAATGTTTACAGCATCTTTTACCACAATCTTAAGTACGCCCAAGAAGTTGGGCAACTACCATTGACCCTCTAAAAGACAGTAAGATTATTTAATATACCAGAGCAAATTAAGGTCCCCCATGCCTTTCCAGGAGCTACTTCCATATGTTCATATACATTCCAAATAAAAATTAAGTTCCCTAACTGAAAACTCAGACTGTAGTAAAAGAATACTTAATAAAGCATTTTCAGTATCATCAAAAGGAAGACTCCATGTGAACTACTTTGTAAGTTAATCATGTCTTCAGTAAGACATGCTTCCAGCAAACTGAACAGGTGAATCTAGCTTTGTCTTACAAAGTGAATTTAGCATGATCAAGCAAAATCAAGTCTTTTTTACAAATCAACAGTTCAATCACCTGACACGTATTTAGAACCAAGCTATTTTAAAAATTTTTAACAGCCTAACAAGTACAATCAAAACATAAAAACTTCACTACCAAAAAACCCCAAAGAACATACAGATTACATTTTTTAAAATCACATTTCTATTTAAGTAACTGATTACATATAGATAAAAGCATACATCAAATTTTTGCTTAAGACAATCGGAATAGACGATTCAGGCACTTCACAACACACTTTCTTCTCTCAAAAATTAAACCACCCTTCCTAAAAAATGTTTTTTCACATGTTACATCTCATATTACAGACTCCTGAAGTGATAGAAAACCAGAAAGCATTATGCTAATATCTACAAAGTAGAAAATAACAGTATTTTTAGTCTCTTTCAGAAAGAGAAATATAATTTTAAATGTAGTTCACAAAAAAAAAGTCAAGGAACAGACAACAAACATTTGTTTTTTTGCAAAATAAAATAATTGATTTTTCGCTTTCAAGTTACCAAAAGACCACTGACTCATCAGTAAAGATTTCGTTCTATGAAACCAGTTTGACAGACCAAAGAACGCATCACTTTCTGAACAATAAACAAACAGTGTTTCACTTGGCATGGGGGAGTCAGTTTTGTACCACATGATCTACATTTTTAGACTGCTGATAAAATACAAGATACAAGACTTGTATGTATAGTGGTTTAACACTTGAGTTCTCTCCAGCCTTTCCCACTGTCAAGTTCTAGATAAGCAAAGCAATGTGAGCCATTAACTGCTTGCACATAGGGCTTGAGGCCTTCCCTTCTTAGAAGTTTTCAGAAAATGAAAATTAGAAACCAATCTGCTCAACAGTAAAATCTGTATAATTCTAGTCTAGAAACTGTCCTGGTCACTGTTATTAAGAAAGAGTCAACAAGCTTCAATGAATGCTTTGCAGAACTCAAAAATACTGCAGTTAGATGTGTTACCTACATAATAAATGAATATTTGTCCTTAGCCGGGGAGGGTGAATTTTCAGAATAATTTTATGAGAACATGACGTTCCAAACAATGTCATTTGTAAACATTTTTTTATTATTCTAAACTTGACCTGTGCAAGTCTAAAGGTCTGAGGTTTGGCTGTATGCCATCTTCTCAGGCCAGTTATAGCAGTTATTCTTAGAAGCATCCACATGTGAGCAGAAAGGGTCAAGTGCAAGACTATGGCAGCCAGTTATATTACTGCTTAAGAAGAGGTGGAAATGAAAATAATATTCCAGAAACAGATAAGCAGAATTAGTAATTGATTTTGGATTTTCCTATAATGGTAAATTTTGAGCTCATTAATGTGGATGAGGATATTACTGCCCCATTTAATGCCATTCAGCCTCCATCCTGCAAAAGGATAAAAATACAAACCAAGAAAACAAGACTTGAAGGTTTACCTTCCCTCTACAGCTAGGAAAAACAGCAGCCACGAGCAGTTCTCGTACATACCTTTCATTTAATTTGTTCAACACTCAATATACAATCAGACCTCTCAAGTAACCTCTCAGTTCTTCATTCTGTTGAAAACTGATGTTCTGATTCCCAGTTAGTTAAGGGAAACTGTTCAGAAAACAAAGGGGAATTGTGGAAATGCACCGAGGGACTGATTGCATGCTCAAAGTGGGCAGGCTGTTAGCCCCAGCAGAAGCTAAAGCTGATCTCTAGACCACGTCCAGCACATATACAAGAAAAGAGTACAGGCAGCACCAAATAAGGTTCACATTAAGTGTACTGTTAGGACATGTTGCAAGTCATCACAGAAATCCTGATAATTCAGAGACCCTGATGTACTTCCAGATTTTCACAGGAGAAAAAGAGGGACAGAACACCCTACTGATTCTTCCAGATTAACTAGCATAGCACTCGGTAAAGTAAGAGACTGAGTGGAGATCCAGGAGAGATGCAGAATATCCACAGTATAATATATCTGTATACAGATGCAAAGTAGTTTAAACAAGAAAATACTCCATTTCACTACAATCCAAAAGATCTCCAAGTTCCTTAGCACGTGGAGCATGCAGTTTTAGCTGTGAGGTCTTCTGTGGAATGTAGAAGCTTCAAAACTGAACTGCCACTTCTGTGGACATCACTCTACTGTGAGATCAGTACACAACCAGAACAATGCTCTGTGAGGGTGCTTTATTTGAAAGATACCACAGAGTGGAGAGCAAAGAAAATGCCTAAAAGTACTTACCAGTTATGCCCGGTAAGAGTTCACTATCTCCTTTTACAAGGAGGGATACTAGTCCTCAGATCAGGCCCAATTTTCACCTGTTCTGAAGTCTGTTCTGCAGTTCTAGAAGTATATAGTATTTTTCAGTCTTTCCTAAAATGTTGGAGAATGTTCGCAATTGAACAGCTGTTGTGTTCCACTCCAGTGATGGCTACATTTCAATAGCGGATTAAGTGATCCAAAACCATCCTTACCTCTCTCACAGGGGTATAGTGAAGATTAATCGTTTGTAAAGCCACGGAATGACAAGTATCTTTATTAATTCTAGTGTGGTCATGCTGGGTAAAACACTGCAAGACCCAGAGCTTCAAAACTCTACAGTTACAAATTATCAGTCTTGTCCTGCTGTTATACTGCAATGTATTTTTATTTGCATTTTAATGTTCTTGCATACACCTTCAGGGCAGGAATCCTATTATCTTAACTATCTCTATTATCATATAGGTTTATAGTGCTTTAAAAATCATAAGGAATAGTGAAAATTAGATTCACAATTTCTCTAAACGCATCCAATACACACCAATCCCCTCATCATCCTTTTTCTAAATTACAAAGTTGGATTCAGTAACATTAAGGACATTTATCCAAGATCCTTCCCTACAGAACTTTGTTTGGAGTTTTATTACAGCTTAAAAATGAAAGGTTTGGGGGCAATATGAATGTACATTTAAACAAGTGTTCCTCAGGCTTTCAAATGGGTCAGATATTCAACTCAGCACAGTAAAGCAGCAAGAATATATAGAACTGAGCACCTACACAATTCCGTAACATTTGCCGCTAAGAAAGTGATTTAAAGAAGAAAAAAAGAAATAGAAATATGTTCCTTCTTTGTAACACTTCTTCAGGAAAAAAAAACAGTTCTTCTGCTAAAACAAAATGCAAGTTTAAATGTTAGAATGCAGAGAATGCCTTGGACTAACACCTTCTTAGCTTTAATCACAAATAATTGCCTCTTCTTATACTAATGAGCAGGGCAAAATGGAAAGTAATTTAGACAACTCATTCAGGGTAATAGCTTTGTGAGCTAATATTACTGCTGAGAGATCCATTCTCAATTTCCTAGAGTACAATAACAGAGCATTAGTAAGTTTTTCACTTCAGAGAGCTTTTCTATCCTGTGTAAATATAAATAGAAATACCATTATCTATTGAGAAAAACAACGAAGAAAGTTAAATAAACTTTTATATGTTACAGATTCCTACAACAACCATCAGCCCCCTGAATCACAAGTGTAAATAAAACACTTCACTTACTGAAATCAATGAGAAACCTTCCAAATCCTTGCCTTTGGTATTGGGGCATGATCATTATGCAGGAGACATTGTACTTCTGCTGGCAAAGCTTTTCCTGAGGGAAGGAGAAACAGATCAAGTATGTCAAAGCACTGCTGAAGTGGGCAATTACCTACACCTGCCACTGTCCTTGTAAAATATCCCAGTAAGATAAATGAATGCATGTGGTCAGTACCAAAGCTGAATAATTCCATGTTAATAATCAATTATAAGAAGGAAGTATCAATCAAACATATCTTCAAAAATATTCAGGTTTTATTAATTAGCTACTCAGGACCTTAAAAATTTAATAGATTGCCTAAATGGCATAATGAAGGTTAAGCCTAGTATGGAAGGAGGGGGACAGGAGGAAAAGGGAAATATTTTCATGCTTCACCGATCATTCTGTCAAGGATATACAAGTGGAAATGGAAAATAATAACCATACACATGGTGAAGATATATTTTCTGCAATTGCTACATTAAGTACTTTGTTGGTTTTCACCTGTACTGTGTCTTCTACTTTTGAATGAATACAGTTAGGGGAGGCAAGGGGAAGGAAGGACGGACAGAAGGGAAAAAAAAAAAAAAAAGAAAAACCCTTGAATTACAGAACAAAGTAGTCATACTTAAAGCATACTAACTTTTTCAAGTTGCTTCTCACCCAAATCCAAAGGAAGGCAAAATGCTCAGAATTCAGAGCTCTTTCAGACAGAAAGGAAGTCATTTATATACATACAATGGAGACAAATATTACGCCGATTGTTTACAACAATGGGAAGAAAAATCTAAACCATGAAGCTGTTCTAACAACATAGCTTAGAGGTTCCTTTATTGATATTAAAAAAAGATATAAGAGAACACTGAAGCCTTATTATCTTTAAAAGATCACACAGAAAATAAAAGTCAGTACTACATAGATTTGAGGGAGACCGAATAAATCAACTAGGAACATACAGGTTAGCATAACTGACAAGAAGCTGGGGAAAACACACAGATAGGCAAGACATCACCTACTAATTTAGCCTCCGTGCCTAAGATGACACCAGATCAGTGATGGACACTGAGAGAACCAAATGCCAATATGCTGGTTTCCAAACATTTCTTCAGCTGTGAGAGCAGGTATTGATGCCATATTTCAGATTTCTTAGTTCCTATGTGTATGATGAAGGCTAAAGCAGTATCTTCTCCGTACAGGCTCAGACTGCTGCTTAGTACTATGCATCCTGGTGATGTATTTGCACTTGAGGAAGAAAAGCCAGAGCGTTTCTGCCAGCAAAAATGCACTCATTGCAGATGCAAAAAAAGGGGGGCCCAACTGAGTAAATCATTGCAGTATTGCAGTGAAATGTAAGGTGATGCTGAAGTATTTTCCTAAGTTTTGCTGAGGAAAAAATTTATGACCACCAGAACTGAAAAATGGACTTGGGGGGGGAGGGGGGGGAAAGGGACAGGACAACAAAACCCATCCTTGCTAAAAAAAAGAATAAAGAGGAAAGGGAGGAAACATTTAAACATCAATAGAGATTCATTTCAACACCTGCAATATCTTAAATAAACCCACTAGAAAATACTTGCCAACAGAGTTCACATGAGTTTGTCTGCCATGTGAACTTCAGATTGACATAAGCTATTTGAAAGTTTAAGGTCAGAGAGAGTGCAAGTTGTGTCTGTAAATCTCACTGTTTAAATCTCAGAAAGGCCCACACCACAGAAATTAATCAGTTCAGGAATACCACTGTATAGTGTACAAGTACTCTGACATAGTTTTTACACTTCTTAATGACTTTATACAAATCACTTCTTGGTGAGACTAGAGGTGAAAAAACACTCAATTTCTGAAAAGTAGAATGCAGGTCATACAGTAACTGTTCATGTGCCAATTCATCTTATGGCAAAATTAACTAACAGAAGCTTTTAAGGCATATCTAATTACACCTCACTGCTATTTTTATTAATGTTTGTCAAGACAGTTCAGAGAAGTATTTTTGTCCATAACTGCAATTATTGCTTTAAAATTCAGAGCAAAACCACAAGAAATAAAGACCTCTACTATAAAAATACACTGTGAAGTTAAAGCTCAAGTTCTTAAGCTTATTGCATTAAGTAACTGGATTAGATTAGACTGCACACAAGAATGAGCAAAGACACACACAGTTGGTCACTTATGTCCAAGTGGCCAACAGCTATTTGCTAGCTTGAACAGCTAGCAGTAAAAGCCTGAATACAGATCAACATCATTTCAAACGCCTAGTGCTTTTACAAGTTAGACTAGGTATACTTCTGCAAAATTTGTAATTTAAAGGGGAGGGGAAAAATAATTTAATTTTCAACTGTACAAGTCACAAAACAACCTGAAAAGAAAAGGCATATAGCTGAATAAGCATATAAATTCTCAATTTCCATTAATCTTTGAGAAAAGAAAGTACTAGTGTATTTGAGATGAATCACATTCCACTTGAGACTTATGAAGAGGATTTGAATTGTTTTGAAATAAAAGTTTTACTTTACTGTTGAAATTGTATGCACAAATATTTAAGTTCATGTATTAAAGGAGAGCGGGAAGAGTTACAAATAATGTTTTGAAAAAGAAACACCTTTTTACCTTAGAGAAATATCCAACTAAATGGCAGCCTTTCTCATCATTTTTTGTAAGGACATAGAAGAGGAATGGTTCAACATCATAATACAAGGTTTTGTGGTCCAGAAAGAGCTTAGCTAACAAACAAAGATTCTGACAATAAATTTTGCTCACATTTCCATCAACCTAGAAAGCAAGACAGATGCAGTTATTTCCCATGCCACCAACATGATAGGACAAAATAGCTTCTTGAATCAACCATACCCTAGAAGGAAACATGAAAAAGATGACGTTACAAAGGAGAAAAAAAAAAAGCTTCAGAAGAGACATGCCCCAGCTTCTTGTTAAGTAAGAAATCTCCAGTCAGTACTAATTACTCTGCATTAGTATCTTCAGAGGATCTGGATTTATTAAACAAAGTAACTTCACCTTTTAATTGTTCAGGTTAGACTTACCTTTCACTTAATTCCTGGAATGAAACAGACACAACTAGCAGACAACAACAAAAGCAAGCTACATTAACTGTGGACTGGCAGTAGGAGGGTGTACACAAAAATAATAATAAAAAGAATAAATCGCATGCTGAATCTTGTAAGACCAGCGAATGGGTTGTCAATTTTGTATTAAATATAGTACTTAGCCTGAAAGTATACCTCTCTTGCACAGTATCATTTTAGCCCCAGTGTAGTATTTTTGCTGTTTAATTGTATTTAAAACCCTACTATAATTAGTCTAGGTATGCTCCTAGTATAAAGGGTCAAGCTGTGACGCAGACAGCTACAAAAAAAATCTGGGCACAGATGCAGATTTCCCAGATTACAATCAGTTACTCCCTGAAATGGAAGGCTCAGAAGCAGTCTTTTTGAAGTAATCTTAATGGAAATATTTGCTTGTACTGATATTCTTTGATAAAGTCGCTACCTGTATTTCATTTACACAGACAGCCAAATGATCTGCACAATCTTGAGAAAGAAACTGTTTTATTCTGTTTCTAGTCACAACCCTAGTTACAACTCTGAGTAAACACCAACCTTTTGGATGTATTTAGGGATTTCAAGGTGACTTAGTGCAGTTGTGTTACTTGGATTAAAGAAAAAATATTTAATGATCAGGTACTGCTACTAAAAGCATCAGAACAAATAAACTTGCATACAGCATTTGAGAACCTACACTAAGCTCTCAACAATTCACTCCATCACCCAGATTTTTCCCCTCCTTTTGCACACTTATTAACAAATGTGCAAATTAAATGAGAATATCAACCCTGTAGAAACTATCACTGGGTAAGCCAAAAGTCTGAAAATCCAAATCCCATAAGTTATTTTCAATGAGAACATTTGTACAGAAATGCAAAAACACCCCTTCAATTCCAGACAAACACATCTTGTTTATCAGTTTTAAATGAGCAAAAAAGTGGAATATAACCTCAAAAGAAAACATTTGTCAAAGTTTCTTGGCTTCAACATAGTAGTAAGCTATGTCAAAGTCTTCTCTCAAATATGTCAGTCACACTCTGAGTAGAAGTACATAAATCTTAAATGCCAAACTCACCTCTGTTTCTCTGGAAAAAACAAAGCATGAAAGGAAACCACATCCCTTTCATTTTGCCAAACAGAAAGTGGATGCACAGAATTCCTTAAAGTATCTACTAGGAATGACATCAACTCATGACAAAATCTCTAGGGTTATCAGAACAACAATTTGAAGCTGGTCTTAGAAATCAAGAACAAAAACTGTCTTTCAGAAGTCTGAAGATAAGTGCTTATTAAGGTGCCTAAAACAGAGGGGACAGGAGGAATGGAGAAAGAGTCTGGACATTCCTTTCCACATGCATCTTATTTTCTGTGTTCCCTCCCTCCCTCACCCCCAGAACTTTCTTTTTTTAATCATTTTTTTTATTCATGGGTTGGCTAATAAAAATAAATTCAACTAGAAAGTAGGATTTGCTTATTATTGCGTGCTGTACAGCTCTTTTAACACCCAGTAATGGAGGAAAAGAGGTTAATTATTTCAGACCAACTAGGATAATCTTGTTTTTTTGACAGGGAAAAAGTTTTAAGCCTGTTTAAGAGTTTTACTGGCAGATCTATAACCTGTAGAAAAACCACCCAAGTGAAGAAGGAAACACAATCCTGATGCTGATAGCTATGCTGAACCAAACAGACCAGCAAAAAATATTTCTACTTTCGTAACTTATTTGTTTGCAATCATGTCCTTACGGATTCTGAATTAGCTCACATAAAGGAATAAGGGGCAGAAAAATACACGTGATGGGAAAACATAGCAAAAAATGAAACCTAGCTGTGGCTTTGAATAATGCAGATTTTTCTTCGAGTTAATGTCGCAAAAACAAGCAAGTGAACCAAGCATTAAGGTCTTTTCTTAAGTTAAGTAATGTCTCCAAAACTGTATCTACCACTACTTGAACAGATAACGGCAATGATCAGGCACGACAGACATTTTTACAATATGAAAATACAAATTACAAGTAGACTCTACGATACCTGAAATTAAAAAGTTAAATATGCACATCTGAACGCTGCTGTTGAGATATAGGGGGCTATGCCCGCAAGGCCAACTCTGGGCTTTCTAAATAAAAGGCAGCTTGTTGTGGCCAGAGTTAGACTGAACCTCCATCATCCAACAACCAGGATGCTTCAGGGTAAGTTTCTCAAACATCCAAAAGGAAGAAAGAACCCTTAGATGCTACATTTAAATTCCTAGAACAATATGCAAACTGCTTTTCTTGTTTTTACATCTTGGAGGTATTTACATTATGTTCACTACTCCCTCTGCACCCAAAACGCTCAAATAGCCAAAACTGAATGGGTGTGAAAGGCACTTTTGCTGTGAAGGGAAAGGCTGCCCAGCTGAAGGGCTTCAGTTGCAGCCCCTATCTAAGGAGCATGCTGCAACAAGAACCTTTAAAGGTTGAGTAACACATAATGTACAAGTGTAGAGAAAGTAACAGTCATGAGAAGAGGGCAGGGTGGAACAGGACAGAGAAGATGGACTTGTTTCTGCAGTATAAGAAGAATCTTCATGGAAGTGTTTAAATATGTTAAAGTTTTCCCCCCACCGTTGGTCTACAGCTGATCTGCAATGTCTGCAAACTGATTATTTTCAAAAATCTAGACTTTGATATACCTACCTCAAATACTGAAAGGTCATTTCTTCTGTAGATTTCATTGGCTGGAGGATGAAACCAGCCACATTTCTTTGAGTGCCTTAACAAAATGTTTTTACTTTTCATGTATTTAAGACAGAATTCACACAGGTAAAGCTTTGGTAGTCTGTATGAAAATTAGAAAGATATTTTATACAAAAAAACAAATGAATCATTTGTTAAATTCTATAAACAAAAAAGTTACCACAAACTGACAAGCCCCTCCCCATTTTAATATAAGGTACCCTGAGTAAATGCTACTTAAGTTAAAAAGAACATTAGAGGGAATGATTAAACATATACATCAGTCGTTAGAAGGGAACATAAAAAAAACAACAAAAATCAGATTCAATCACAGTGAATCTGATTCAACCGAGTTGGACTCTAAGCAACTGTTTGGTGGTCCAGCCTCAGCTAGATGCCAGTTTCATCCCCGCCACCTCACATTTCACCTAAGCTTTTGTCATGGTCTCCACCAAACGAGGCACACTGGAGTCATACCTCAAGTTCCACCCTTTTTCACAATGAGGAAAAAGGAGACACATGACAGGCTACAGGGAATCTCCTTCCCCCTTTAATTTTCCCTATTTTTGATATGGAAGGGGCTAGGAGATATTTCTCTTCCCACTCTCTTCCATATACTTGGATGGGACAGCAGACTGTGGTAGGACTGTCCTCTCCCCGCTACCCTCCAACCAGCCACATTATCACTTTACTCAAGTACAGAAGCCAGTTCGAACAGTTCATATATAGGCAAAAAGTCTCCCTTCCACCCATCTCCATGACAAGAGACAAGACAGATGATTACTCCTCCAAGAAGAATTTAGTTCAGACTGGATGCAGGGTAACCCACAGGCACGATGTTAGATGAAACTGACAAGGGGGTCTAGCTGCCAGAAAAAAAACCTGTTCTTTCAGGAATTTTTAGCTGTCTATTTTTTTTTCATTTTTAAGTTGCTGAAGTAGAAGACTACTGCAGGAAAACAGTTTACTAAAATTAGTTTAATTAGCATACAAATTCTTAGAGCAGAGGCCAAACTATCTGTTCTGACGTTATTGGTACATCTCTGAATCACGTTGAGGTCATAGCACTGGTTTACACTATTTCAGGATTCTAAGAAAACTTATCAAAGTAGCACGAATATTTTATTCCATGATGTAATGCCATTGCATACAGAGGCAAGAATCACACTGCCTCCTACAGATGCCATCCCACTGTTGGCTCATGCTAATGACTATTCAGTATCATACCTCTGTCTGGGATTAATTTACTTGATGGGACATATCTCTGTCTCATATGACAGAAAATAAGGGGCTATGACAGTGAAATGAAAATATTAACACTGCAGAAGCTCTGTTAATATGATGGAACAGAAACGCTCTGTACTCTTTTTTGGCCCTTGATTTTTATATTATCAATTCACAATATATCCCTCATTCCCACTATACAAAGATGACAGTATCTTGGAATGAAAGGGATGGATAGATAAGGCAGTTTACAGTAACAATATGTATAGGCTTTTTGGAACAGGCCATAGAACTTGGTTGTCCACTGTAGAGAGTGCTCTATGAACATATAGTTCTGCAAATCTCCACATGTGCCATAAATCCAGTGGATTCATAAAGCATATATTCAGCACAAATCAGCAGCGATCTACTGAGCACACATACTAGTTCATGCTCTCTGCCTGACTCAGGTGTCCCAGCAAAGGCAGAGACCAGAACTGGGACACCACTGCCACAAATTGCTCACTTTAATTTTATTTAAAATGTGCAGACTTCTTACTCCCTCAGAACAGAAGTTAACTTCTGGATGACAAACAAGGGTAATTGCTCTGAATGGCTGGAAGTTGGGCATACCTGGTTGCAAACTGTTTAGGAGGGGAAGAGTGAGAAAAAAAAGCATGAAACACTGCAATATTATGCAGGACTAAAAAAAAAGTCAGTGTTTTTAATGCATCTTTGAATAGAATTAGTTAAAGAGAGAAAGAGAGAGAGAGAGAGAGAGAGAGAGAGAGGACTCCTTATCCTCCCTCAAAATTATAAAAGTAAATTCTAAATCTAAATTATTTTTAAAAATAAGTAGACTATAAGATTAGTAAAAATGCCAACAATATATTATGATCTTGACAACTCACTACCTTGCATATTCCTGTGGATAAGGCGAAGAGTACCAGGTCTGGATCTCGTATTTTCCAAACTCAATCACTGAAGGATATCGTCCACTTGTTTCACCAGTGTTTTTACACCCAATTTTCTGTCAGGTGCAATAAAAGCAAAACATTAGTTATAGAACATGCAAAAGGAAAGATGTTTTTTTTTAAAACATCAATTTCAGCCAATGAAGACCTGACAAACTTAGAACATTCAAATTAGTTGCCTATGTTCTTCCAGCCTGGATAGAGAGAGGACAGAATCTGCAGACAGCTAGCTATAAAACATACAACTTCTTTTTTTAAGGTGCCAGGCAAGTAAGAATAAAGTTAAAGAGTAGTGCTTACAAACAAGTGCATGCAAATAGATGTATGGCCCAGCCAAATAAGAAGCACAACTGCCTCAATCCTCCTCTCCTGAAGCATCTAGCAGGAGGATGCTTCTAAAGTCCTAGTTCAAATTCTAATCTGTCCTTTTGTCAAAACAATGAGTGAAAAGGGATCCTTTCTGGAGTTCACAGGTTTTCATCTGATAACAGTCAACAACATACTAAAATATGTTAACCTCAGCTGACAGAAAAGCTGAGCTGATAAGAAAATGATTACTAGATTCTAAAGGGCTGGCTAAATAAAATGAAAGAAGAAACATGGAAAATATTTAAATTAATTGATATCAATTTTAGAAATCTTACCATATAACATTTTTGGACTGCATATGAAAGATAGAAAAGGAAAGAAAGAAAGGGAGCAGGAGGTGGGAACCAGTTCCATTAGCAAATGGAAATACCAGCTAATAAAGAAGTTGGTCTTTAAATGGTTTGCATTTGGTGGTTAACACTCTCTGAATTAAGACCGTATCAAGGTCAATGCATTGACCCATGCCAGATAATGTCAGTTCTGGTACCTCTAACTTGAAAAAATTAAGCGACTTTCATTACTGAAAAAGATAAAAGACATACTGGTTTATGACAAAATTTTATTAAAAGCAGCAGTTGCAGCATTATATGGACCTCCTTTTTGACCCTGCTTCCCAGAGACACTGCTTGCTTGAAGGGTAAAGTTTCCTCATGATTGACTTGTGAGGAGCTTCTTCCAACATGGAAGCCTGTAAGGCTCGTTCATTTCATTGAAGAGTAAAAGCCTCTTTTGCTAAGGGAAGAGTGACCTGCCATGTCTAGAGCTTCCTTGGCAAAGAAAACCAGGTCAATCTCAGCAAGCTTTAAATTTCTACTACATACCCTAAAGAAGGGCATAAACGCCAGCTGGTGTAAAGTTTTAGTCAGATTTAGCTCAAACATTTCAACTACTAGAAAAAGTCTATCATTTTTGAGCTCAAAATGTGTTAAATCTTGGGGTAAAATACAATAATAAACCCACCAAACCCAGATTCTTTCTTACAAACAGTATTTGATGGGACAGACTTAACTTTTCATAGTGGCTGCTTTCTGTGCAGAGAAAAGTGATCAAGGCACATTCTTACTGACCAACATCCTCTCAGTCCTGACCAGGATGTCAGCTATGCAACTCCATGTTTAGTCAGTGGTAGTCCTATGTCCAAAATGCTCCAAGTGCATCTTTCAAAATCTATTCCCAGGCGTCACTCTTCTGACCCACTCCAGTGGGATGCCTTGTCTCCAATCTAGTAGAACGTAACTGTATAAAGTGTTTCTCCAATTCAATGCATAGCAAGTATGAAATATTAGGTCACAAGGAACATACCAAAAATGAAGATGAGTAGACATCTGAAAACTAATCAAGTTTTTATTTACCGAAATAACTGCATTTTATGTAACACAGATGACAACTCCCCCACGACCCCTTACCTCCAGCGAGAGTTCCCGGGCCTGCTTAAACACTTCCAAATCCTCTTGCGTAACAGTGTCCTTGCTTCCCACCAGAAATACATCTGCGTTTTCTTGTTTGATGCTTAGTTTGATTTCAGTATCTGTTATTTAAAACCAGCAAAAGGTTTATTCAGATATGCAGTTTACACGTGCTTTTCCAGAGTAATACTCCTGAATAGGATTGTAGCAACTATAGCTCTTACAACCTCCCATTCCAAATAAATTTGGAGTTCTACATAACAGGAATGAATCCTTCCCCCCTTCTTGTTTTGTAATTTGCTGTTGCAAGAGCAATTTTATTACTTGCTTGTCTGTCTCAGCTTTTACAGTCCAGCTCTACTAAATCAGTTTTGAACCTCATTAAATAGAATATATTCTATCACTAGAAATAAGTCTCCTGATAAATCGCAGGACACTCTACCAAATAATAAAAATAAGAGAAAAAACTGCCCTTTCAGTGCTAATTTAAGCAAAAACTTTTAAAAATTTGGAGACCAATGCTAAGCTAAGTGTACATTCACACATTATAAATAAATTTTTTCTTAAATAATCACAAGAAGGTATTTTACAGCAGTACAGATTGAGTGTTGTGGAGGCACGATGGATTTGGTCATGAAAAAGCAATGGAGCAGAGGGAAATGAATTGAAATGCCCATCATTATAAGCACTGACAGCACACAATCAGGACAGCACTACTGCCAGAGAAAGGGCATGGGAAAGAACAAGGAAGTAGCATGGAAAGTGGCAACTCATGCGGTACTACATAGCCATAAGCAACATCATGAAGGCATTTGGGGCTCCTAGTGTCACTACAGATGCAAAAATAATAAAAAGGTGGTGTGGTATTAGTCAGAAAACACACTTTGGAGGTTTAGTCAGCATTAGATACAAGGTCAAAGTTTTGTTGCTTTTGTATGAAAGTGAAGTAAGAACAAGAGAAGTAGCTAAGACCTATGTGACAAAATAAGAATCTCGGTTTTGGACGGGACGCAGGTTTGGTTGGCGCTTTGACCTTTGCTTACCATCATCCTGATCAGGTTTAATCCTTCCGTCTGCCAAGCTCCCCTTCCCTGGTGAGGGGGTCCCCATCTGAGGGGTCACTTTATACTTTAATCTGCCTAGAATCCTGTGCTTTTTAAGGAAGGTTGTTCGCTTGAGGTGAGCAATTGCTTTAAAAGCACGTCCTCTAGACACACCCCATCCAGAGGTACAGGAATGAGAAATAAACCTACTTCTAACCTCTTTCTTTCCATAGAAACGGCTATTAGATTTTGATGTGGAAGATAATTCTGGTTTACGACGCATACGCTTGGGTGGTGCATAGCTTGGGTGGCCCTTTTTTCGAGACTGTCCCTGAGTGGTATAGATATGAGAAAGTCCATCAAAGAGTCCCTTTAGCTGACTGTTATTAGGAAGGCTACTAAAGGAGGGTGCACTTGACTGACTGGAAGAACTTTGGGGAGAGTTAGAAGAAGTGGAAGTGCTGGATTTTTGTGAACTGGGGCTCTGACCAGAGATGGGGGTTGGGGGTAGAAGTGAAGAAGGTGGAGGTTTTAGCTTTTGTGTGGTACCTGTAGCCAACACAAGAGAAGTGCATGACTGTTTCTGAGACACCTTTTTCCTTGGACGATAGTGCTTTGAAAAGTCTATTATTTCACCTCGTGATCTGCGACCATCAGGTGATGGTGTAAAAAACTTAGTAAGGCCATCAATGAGCCCTTTGGTTTTCTTGTTAACTTTAAGTGTAGAGGCAGATATGTAGGTGGAGGTGGTGGTGATTTTGGTGGTGGCACCAGGCCGAGTGGGGTCTGTAACAGGCAATCTGCTGCTTGAATCCTTCACAGATGCAGCATGACCAGATGAAGGTGTGGTACAGACTTTAGTCTTTTGACCCCTACCAGGTGACCCCCTTCCTGTGAATGCATTCATGGATCCTTCATCACTGGTTACAGACCTATGCAAAAATTTGGAAAATAAAAATCATCATTAAAAAGCTATAAAATTACTAACAAACAATTCTACAGTTTATATAAAGTTACTTACACCATTTTCCTAAAAGAAACTTGAAAGAAATTTAGGAAGACATACGCAACTTGGACATACAATTCACATAATAAGAAAAGTTAGGTGTCAGCTGTTACGTTAAGGTAGTTAATGGAACATATAAATAGAAGCACCTGGGAGAGCAAAATCCCCCAAGTATACAGGTACCACCTACTTTTAGGCACGACAGAAAGGTGTGTGTCTTTGGAGAAAAGCATTAAAGCATTACGTTTGAGCACAGTAACTGCTTCATCACCATACAAGCAATTACACACAACAAGGAGATGCAAATGTTCAATGCTAACAAATCACATCAAGCATATCAAAACCTTTATTAACTTCATCACAACATTTGTTTAAACTGTATGGAGGGTCTATCAGTTCGTTAAAGCAGCAGTCAATTTTTCAAGAAAATGCCATTTTTCCCCACAGCCTTGTTCGATTACATCTATAAGCACTAGTATTTAAGAGAGACCACCAAAGATCTAAAAGCAAAGTGAGGCAGTGTATGAGTAGCATTGCAGCAAAACCAAAGTTTTCTTTTGAAAAACCTGTTTTCTTTTGAAATTATAACAATAGTAAATAAATAGTAAAACCAACAACTTCTATATATAAAGAGGGAAGGAGCAAAACCTTAAGACCAAGTAGCGATCAAAGAAGAGTCACAAACTGTTTGGGCCTAACACAGAATATGTTGAGGAGGAAAAGGGGTGAATATTGCCTAAAAGGCTAGAAAGATAAAGGGCATGCTGAAAGCCAACACTTGTTACAGCAGAAGTGTCAATTTAGCTGATTGTCAATGAGTGACGAACAACACTGAAGAATACACTGAAAAGCAGTATATTGTAAGTGTACAAAAACTGAACATTTAAAAATATTTGAATAAATAGGTATCAGGAGGCCTGATCAAATTGCTAATCCAAATAAAACTACATAGTTGCACCAAACAATTCCATTTCCTTTTTCACCCTCCTCTTTGAGGTAAGCTTATTTTGCAGAGGAAAGTTTTCTTCCACAGATTTTGCCTTCTTAATTGAGATGCTGAAGTAATTAATTCCAACAGGTTACTTTTAATTAGAGATGGAACAGCCTGGGGCTACCATCTGGTTTGCTGAACTTCAGTGGCCCACCAGTCTAAAAACTGGCCCCTTTTCCACTCACATGTCCTTAAATTTGGTTAGCTCCTAAGCAGCAGCAACACAAAAAACAAAAAAGTCTTTTGAACTCTTTGGTGCCATAAGTTTGTGTCCATAGCAAGATCTACTCTTGCTACCAGATGTGCTAATCACCAGTGCCAGAGGCTGACACACACCTGGTTTTAGTTAATCCTACACAATAATTTGCCCATGAAGGGCTTCCTCATATGTTCAATAGGTAAAAAAATTATTCTAGTACTTCCAGATAGATTTTCCTTACACTACATGAATAGTTCTAAGTGACATTAGCCAATCTTGCTGTATTTCATGGGATCGCTCAGTTATTTATTACACTATCTTCCATACTCCATTATCATTTCTAAGCAGGAGTCCATGAGAATTTTTTTTTATTCCATCCCCTAATCATTACTCTTCCAAAACAAGATTACTTTGTTCTATGTACATTAAAAAAACAGTAATAGAAATATGCCTATAGTATTGCAAATATTTAATATGCAAAGATAAGAATCAGCCACCCTTAAAGCACTATTCTACTCTAGCATCTTACATGCTACTCATAATCATGCAAAACTAAAACAACTTATGCTTCTTTTAACATAACACTTAATAAAAGTTGGAGCTCAGAACCCTAGTAGCATAGTGTAACAGCAAAACCCACGCAACTTTTGCAACTTATCCTTCACATGTTGGAGGAAGGAGGAAAGGCACAATTACAGCATCAGACAGGTATTTCTACTAGATCCTCTGGAATGCCCAAATCAGTGACATGTTTTAAGAGAAGCAAAATGGCAATACTACATTTGAATCACCACCTCCAGGCTGAAAGCTGAGGAATTCCCAAAGGGGAAAAAGCAGAGGTGTAGCTAGAGATATAGGGAGTATTTTTATCATGCACACACAATAACACACAGAAAATTCAAGATGTTAAAACGCTGAAAGTTGTATGGCTATTCCAACGACTGATACCTTCAAATATATAAGTTTAGTCGGGAAGAGAAGGCAGAATTAAAAGAATGCTTTAGTCTTCTTTAACACACATTTTCTACTCCAGCTCTATGTTTTTTGCTTTCATGTAGTGCCACGTACCATCTTTGTCCTGTAGTACTTTCCTAAAGCTACACATGCCCTGAACTTTAGGACATGGACCAAAAAGACCAAAACAAGAGATTCTGGCAGAGAGAAAGAAGGGGAATGAGAAAGCAGCAACATGCACAGCACTGAGTACATCAACTAGGCTAAGATGCTATACTGTCAAGGTCAAAAAAAGAAAAAGGGGGGGGGGGGGGGGGGAAACGACAACACTGGAAGCATTACACACTGGCTGCACTGACTCCAGAAATTCTTCTTTGGCAAAATTCACCAAAATTTTACAGCAGCTATCATGCTGTAGAACTCTGAAGAATACCAGACAGGTTTTTAGGCTGCAAAGAAAAATGGTACGGTAACAACCACATAACAGAATGAGTAGTAGAGCCAGAAAACTTTTCAGCTGCTCAGTTGACATGGCCAAAGAGACACTTAAATAGGAGAAGAAGAAATCCGTATGTGGATAGGAACACATGATTGAGGACAACATGCCGCTAGCATTAACATAGAACCTGTTCCTGTTTAACACTGAATGTACTGTCAGCTCTGCTTTTGAAATCTACCTAAACAATCCTCCAATCAAGCCTTAAGATGTCCAATTACAGTGTTACCTGGAAAGATAAATGCCAGAAGAATTATAGCGCTCTTGTCTTCGATAAAGAGATATTCTTCAGAAGTAAAAGCAACTGCAGCCTTTTCCCCTAGTAACCAACGGCTGCTTAACACAGCACAATTTAAGTAACCCTTTTTTCCTAGGGTAACACTAAAACCAAAACTTCTGTAGTACTTACATTGCTTGCTCTTGGGAATGGGTTTCATGAGCTGATAAGAACTGATATCAAGGCTACTTCTACACTGTTTAAGCAGAACTTTGAGTAGAACAGTGTCCTGACGCTGCACGTAGTAATCAACTATTTATTATCCACTTGGTGTGGACTCTGTACGTGCTTCAGTCATTTTAAGTTTTATTTAAAAAAAAGTTGTGTTACATTATTAGATAAACTTTTGTTTGTAGCTGTTACAGGTACAAGTTTTATTTAAAAAAATGCATTGATAAGAGTATGTTGTATAAAGGTCCCCCCCTCAATCCTTTTCTGACATAAGGTCAAAAATAACCGCTATAATTAAGAAGTTACTGACCATCAGACCGAAATGTGTGTACTAGGATTACTTCTCACCATTTCTTTTCCCCAAATTGAATCACAGTTAAAAACAGTTGTTGAGTTTAGGTCAACTTCTGTACAATTATGCTCGGAGAAGCGTTAAAAAATTTAAAGAGAAACCTACAACATTCGTTGCTTTAGTTTATTTTTCGGTCGTCCAATAGGTTTTGCATATCGTCGCCTTATTTGGGCAGCTTTCTCATGAAGTAGCTTTCTGCCTTTTTTCTTTGGTCTACAGACCTGGCAAATCCACATCCCTACATAAAAGGGAAAACAAAAATTAATTTTACACAGTCTACTTAATTTGTACTGCAAGCATCTAAAATACATGCCAACTTCACAAGTGCAACAAATCCTCTTCTAAACAGAGTATACGGAAGGGAAAGTGGCCAAATGATCCACTTTTACCTATATTTTGGAATTTTTGGAAGCAAAGCGCTCCTGGAAAGGGAAAAAGTGACAACAAGGATCACAGAAAAAGATGGTGAGCAAATGGGTTCCAGAAGAGTTTCTGGTCTAACTTGTCCCTCCTTACACAAACTAGATCTTTCTTCAGATACAATTAATAGAGGTAAAAAAAGCTATGTGCAAATTACAAAGCAATCTAAGCTAAGTGCTGGGGAAAAAAAAAAAACCACACACCACAACCACACAGATCACACTTTTTTTTTTTAATTAAAAAACTTCAATTTGTCAGCCTTTTAACATTAGACGGTCATGTTTGACCATTTATTTACTATAAATAAGGCTAGAGGATTTAACAAAGTTGAAAAAAGATGCTTTGCAAAATTTTAGAATTAAACAGGGAAAGCCATTAAGATACAAGAGCAGAATTAAAAGGTACTATATACCAGAAATCTAGGGATAAAACACAGAACCTGAAGATACAAGTGTTTTGTTTGTTTGTTTTTTAAATTACCATTAGAAAGGGTATGAAGAAGGCTTTTGGAAACATTTTAAAGATTTTTGTAATGTGCATATATCCCAAACATTTTCAACTATAGCTTCTGCAAAACTTTGCTTTTAACAAACAGGCCAAGAAATAAAGTTACATTATGAAATTGACCATAAAACGTTCCCAAGAATAAATCTCAGGTAAAGAAAAATAAAGTCTTGATTTTGACTTGATGGAAACTATAGTGTTTACCAGCTGAAAAATTAGCATGCTCAAGAGGTTTTGGTCACTTCATATGAGAAAAGACTGAATGAAAGGATTTTTCATTAATCACCTTTTGGCATTCGGGAAAGTGGTGGGTCACAGCACTCCATGTGGAACCCTCTATCACAGGAGTCGCAAAAGAGCATGTTATCCTAAATTGGGGCAGGGGGAGGGGAGAGGAGGAAGAGGAGGGAAAAAAGAGACTTAATACAGTATTGCTAGAGATTGTACATCAGAGACTTTTATTTTCATACATGCCAAGTATAGAGCTAGCATAAACAAAGAGATGTCAGATAACACTTAACAGTAACTTACCGCATTTTTGCCTTGGATCCTACAGGCACTACATGTCTTGCATTCAATACACTGCCATCTTAAGGCCTTCACGTTTGTTGTTAACTCAGGACAGAATTTCAAACATGATGGATGCCCTGAAAAGAAAATATATATATATATTTTTTTTTTTTTGAAGTTCTTTGAGATTTAAGAGAAATCTAATTCTTACGCTCAACACAGAATGCAGCCAGCTCCACTGGAACCCTAAGAGCTCTAGCTGTTTTCAGAACTTGCAATACATTACCTTATTTACCTCATGCAAATAACATATGGAATAACTGCCATAAAACAAGTGTCAAGAGAGGTAGAATGCTGACTTTTACTGTAACTGACATGTGAATAGATTTCATAAGCACTTAAGATTGAATTTAGGTTTTCACTTAAACTGCCATTGGTTCCGAAAAAGTTACTTTGGCACACTTGAACCCACTCTTTTTACAGCAATGCAATATAAATGCAGACAATAGCTTTATATAAAGCTCTATTAGTAATTTGTCTCTAAATATTGCAAGTATCTACCACAGAAACTTAAGAGCCAAGCTACAAGCATTTTTCATTTCAATATGTTGCTTGCTTTTAAATAATCAGCAAAGTTTCAGAACAGTAAGAAGAAAAAAATGAAATGGACAACTGTCACAGGAGACCTTTGTTACAAAAGATGGTTTAAAGCAGAAGAAAACAGTAGCTAAACTATCTTCTCCCATGGAAATTTTATTTTATTCCCTGGTAGGGCCACCTTCTTTTTATGGTAGTTTATAAGGCCTAAATAGTGACTTTTCCACTTAACTCAAGATCTCAGACAATACTGGCAATGACTTTCCACGTCTTCAACAGCCTCAACAGAATTATTCTTAATCCAGAGAGATAAAAGTGCTGCTAAACAGGAAAGAATAAACTCTTTCCAGGGAAGTACTTTTTGCCAGTATTATATTCAGAGATTATGAAAGACATCAACCCACAAGTAGTCAGAAAGGTAAAAACCCTGATGCTGTGCTGCTGTAGTAGCATCTTATGCATGAGGGGTACTGTCATCTCATTGTCAGAGTCAGGACAAGAAATTGCATGTGCTTTCCTGCAGTTAATTATCTAGTCAGGGTGATCCAGACCTTCTCCTCCATGTTACACCCACTGTATATTTCCCAGTTCACTGACCAAGCTAAACCACAACAAAAAAGGATACAGGTTAATCCATAATAATTTGCTGTTTTCATCTTTCATGAGCCTGAGGCATGGACTGCAAAGATGACTGACTGAATAGACCAGTTCAAAATCCAAAACCTGCGCTGATCATCTCCTCTTAGTGCGTGCACTCAAGGTTTAACCTACTTTTTGTTAAACTTCAAAAGAAAATTAAAGTAACCCAAAAATCATAAGTCTCCAAAATAAAAAGCAGGGATATCATCAATTAGTAAAGAACAATCAAGAATAAATTCATCAATAGAGTAGTTTTTAAAATAAAAAGGTAGTGAAAAACATTGCCATTTGATTCTTAGAGTACAGTTTAACAGATATTAACAGATTTTTGTGTTTAAAACTGATTATGTACTTACAATGTGACTAATTTTCTTGACAATGATAAATGCACTGGCTAACTGCACAGTTTAAGTTCAATGCAACATTGTGCCTTGCACTAAAGCTTAACAAGTGCTTCATTTAAAAAAAGTCCACTAAGCAAGAAGAAAAGAGCTCCCTGGGGTGGCTGATATTAATAACCAATATAATAGGAGTGGCTGATATTAATAATCAATATAATACAAACTCTTATTTCAACCACCATGACTGAACAGCTATGTTAACATGTTGAAGTGTTATCATAAACCAATTGCCCCCATATGCATAACCCAAACTTAACGCATCTACCCTACACAAAAATGATTTTTCTTCAAGAAAAGATGAGGTTTAAGCTGCTGATTCTAACTTTCCCTTACATTTACCCTTTTCAGTTACTTCCCTAAGACAGGCTGATTCTCACCGGTCAGTAACTATGCACGCATTATATATAATGGGATTACTTTATTTCCCTGTTATCAGCCAACATAGTGTTTCCTCATTCAAGCGATTTTATAGCTTAACACTTTTTTTTTTTTTTAAATATCTCTAAAGGTTATAGTACTAGACAAAAATTCACATAAAAAGCCATTAGGATTAAACATAGATTCTGCCTGTGACTCCTTGAGCCACAAATAACTGAAGGCTCAAAGAATGCAAATGGGAAATATCACCATGCATTTGTCATATTCTTTTATAACTTCCCTAGGTGAACACTAGCAGAGAGAGCGCTGACATTTTCAGATTTCAAAAATATGGTATGGTATTGTTCTTCCTGAGCAGCACAGAAAATATATATATATATATATATATATTTTTTT